AAGACGTGGACATGATCTCTAGAGAGAGACCCCTGGAGAGGAGCTCATGACATAGACCCAGCTGGGGAAAGTACCACCACATCACTTCTGGGCCCAGCTCTTGTGATATTATCAGAACAGATTACATGAGTCAAGTTAGTCAGATCAGTGACCAAGACTTTTGTTGGAGCTAGAGGGAAGAGAAATATTTTATGTTGTTAAGTCTGTGGTCATCTTGGGCAGGGCTTGACTGAGAATAATAACCCAAGAAAGAAAGTAGAACCAAGAAACAGAGAAACAGCATCCCAAAGACTTAATTAAGCCCTGGGATTTAGATGTACCTTCACCAGATACATCCTCAGAATTCCCAGTTGCATGAGTCTCAAAATTCCTGTTTTTATTCTAATCAGTTTGACTCAGTTTTCTGTCATTTGTCATCAAGAGTAAACTAGCTGAATTCTGGGCATGGTGGTGCATGCCTGTAGTCCCAGATACTCAGGGGGCTGAGGCAGGAGGAATGTATGAGCCCAGGAGTTTGAGTCCAGCCTAGGCAACATAGCGAGACCCTGTCTCATAAAAAACAAAACAAAACAAAACAAAACGCTGAATCATTGCTATTAGAAAAACATTAGAAATCATTGTTAGATGACTACTGCAAATTCAGCTCTAAAAGCAGGGAAACTCGTTTACTCCTGTCCTTTCTTCTTTTTCAGACAAGGTCAAAAGTTTTTCTGGCTTCTTCCCTGAACCTTCCACCTCTACTCCCAACTGGTAACGAGGCATCCTCAGTCGTGTGCTTGGCTTACTCCCCAACCAGAAACTTCCTGCACACACCTAACCCTCTGGAGCAATCCTCTCAGTAAGTTCCTTACCAGCCTGTTGCCCATGCAGTTGGTGGTAGGACTTGTCAGGGGTATGGGGAAATGTCCACACCGTTAGGGTGGAAAGGAGTTCAATGTCCCACCCCGAGCTTTTTTCCTGAGAGAAAAGATTCTTCTATCCAGATTAAAGCCATAAAGAACAAAGAAAGTCACAATACTGAACTTAATTTCAAGCACCATTCCTTTCATGAGAACTGTTCATCAGTAGCTAAATCATCTCATTCCTGCTGCTAATAAACAATGAAGGTTTCAAAAAGTCAAGCAGCACTGGGGAGGAAAGGAAGAAACCATTTTATGAAAATGGATATTCAGTCTTTGCATAATTAAGGATATCCACTTTATAGGATATTTAAAGAGTCCCTAATCTACCTTTATATGAGAGTATGTCATTACTAATCCTGGACATTAAAATTTATCATAATAATTATGAACAAGTCTGTCAGAGAATTTCACTTATTGGCTGGATTAGATATTAAAATAAAGGAAAGACTGAATTATAGAGTACTATATGTTGAATATTTAATAAATTAATCCCCCAGGCTGATAGTAGGAGTTTCAGAAGTAGTACCTATTGCAAGTGAGTACTTAATCAATACTAGTTAATGATAATGGTTTGAGAGAAAGTGGATACCTAATTGGTTCACAATCCAAAATAGAGCACAGAGGAATCACACTCAAGGTAAAAATTGTTAAAAGACTGTTCGTAGTTATGAATAGTTATAGGAAAAGAAAGAAGATTGAAGCTTTGCCAGAGTTGACTCCTTTGAGAGTTCCTGGATTGTTAGGCATGGCCTTATTCATATAAATTTTGGCCCTGGTTTTTAGATCTGATCATTTTTCTTTCATACGACTTTGAATTATACAGAGTCTCCTGGGTGCTCAGCAATAGTTTCTGACTCCAAAGTCCATACTATTTCTCCAAGGAGAAATAAGAGGGAAAGGAAACAGAGGCAGAGACAGAAGGAGGACAGAGAAATTGGGGGCGGGGGGAAGAGAAGAAAAGTAACAGGCCACGGAAGAGGAAGGGATGTGGAGGGGGGAAGTGGGGGAAAAGCAAAAGATGAAGGGAGAGGAAGAGGGGAAAGAAGATGGGGGTGAAGGAAGCTGGGTGGGAAGAATCAGACTGAATAAGAGCATCTTACTCATTTTGACATAGCAGATGGACTCCAACATTTTTTTTTTTTTTTTTTTGAGTTGGAGTCTCACTCTGTCGCCCAGACTGGAGT